AGAAAATACGATCAACTGGGGTGAGTCTGCACGATGCAGCCGGAATACGACAACCCTGAATGGGACAACAATCGGGAAGCGCGTTCGCGGCAGTGGACAGAGTGATAAACATGGCCAAATTCACAGTTAAGGAAGTTATTTAATGGTTTACAATACGAGTTTAGGAGGAATAAGTAATCGTTACAGTGTGATACAGTGCGTCAACCAGTTCATAGATGTAAATCGGGACGAAAAGATGAGTTCGGGTGCATTGCTGAACGGTGTCCGATTTAATACGGCACAGGCTAGCTTAAGAGAAGGGAAAAATTAAAAGAACTAAATTGATCACCACGGTGAGTACACGATTAGGCTTCATAAATATCTCTTCGCGCATTCTGCCGTGATCCGATGTGACAAAATGAACGTCACGGCTATCGATACGCTGACCTGTCCTTTGATGTCGTCAGTCAACCGATTGCATGAGTATTTAGACACGAGCCCAGAAGACGAGAAACGAAGAACTGTCTAGCCCTGAGCGCACGTATTCTTACCTAAACTCTACGCGCCATGCTGACCCACAGGAGTGACAAGTGCAATCAGGGAGCGGAGTGGTAGGTGTGTGCTAGGCATATCCAATAGGAAAATTGCAGATATCTTACGAACAGATACCTTGATTGTGAATTTGAAAGAAAAACTCACTAGCTTTGACGTACTCCACGAGCCAAACATGGACCAATCTTATTCATAAAGATCTTTTTAAGTGTGTTGTGTGGCCCACAGTGTGGAATAGAGACATGTGGAATGTGATCAAACAATCACTACCGATTGACCAAATGCCAGGTCAATTCAAATGAGGTCTTGTATGATTCACCACTTCGATTTGCAAGGCTTAGGTCCTACCGACAAGTGAACGCACTCTTAATCGTAGTCATCTGTGCAATTCCAGACGACTAAAACCCGTAGAATCACCAATACTTTCAAGTGCCAGTGAAGAACTGCACAGTCATTAGGTAGAGTTGGTGTCTCTCGCCTTCCAGTTTGGGGTCCGAAAGACTCCACAACTGGTTGTTTGGAGACATTGAAGGATATGGCAGCGAACCGGCAGCAGTGGCATTCTTATTGTTGTTTATTATCAGGTCAGAACGCTTGAAACGGTATGTATGCAGAGTTCGATTGCGTACTCTGTGTGTTGACCATAGTGGCTCATCTTCTCCCTCCTTCAGAGTAGGTTCAATCCCTGCCCACTTTGCATATTACCACTAATCTTGTATGCATTGCGAGTTTGAAAGCAAACAGTGAAGTTTGCCTCACTGTATTTCGCTGTACGATGATGATGATAATGATGATGATGAGTCTAAAAATATGTTATTATTATAGAAAACTTAAGTATTCAGTACATTTCAAAAATCCTGTGCAAACGGATGTTAATAAACCGGAATACGAGAGTTAAAGACGAGGCAGTTCTTTATTTTCTCAAACGATAATCTGTGTCCTGAGAAACGATAAGATTTGACATGAAATCATCGCCAATCGGAGGTCCTGACTCATTATTTCTTCACACATTGCAATACAATTGAGAACGGAAAACACGAATGAAAACCACGTATCACAGCAAACTCGATTCACACGCATTCATCGCTTACCAGATGTGCCAGAAGAACGAGCAACGCGGTCTGTCGCATCAAGGTTGATTTTCCACCCATATTAGGTCCTGTCACCAGGACCGTCAGTGGATGAGAGGAGGATGCGGACGAAACGTTCAATCCGGTGCCCAGATGAACGCTGTTTGCGATTAGATCGCCACCCATGAACGTGTTGATCAGGCATGGATGAAGTCCGTCCTCAATTTCCAGGAAGGGCTGATGTGGTTACAAGAGTGAAACAGATATTATCACTTACTTAGGGTGTTGACGGCACACGGCAGAGGGAGCAGAATGACAGAGACACGGAAGATTATAAGTCCTACTGGTTCATGATCATTTTTAGTAATCCACTAACTGACCATGTCGTGGGTAAAATAGTTATCACCGATTTGCAGTGATGGTCGTCGACAGAGCTTGGCAATCCGTTTCGGTAGCCTCAGTATCGTTAGAAGTGGTTTGTGGCTGGGTAACCTTATCTTACACCTCACGAGATGTTCCTGTGTATCTGATGAGAGAGCTCTGCTCACGACCTCTACCAAAGTGAGAGGACGAAAAGTCAACATCCGGATCTTTAAATGGATCGGAGTGTTCCCATTCTCTCCACTCTTTACAGAAAGTTATGCGAGAATAGTTATGACAATTATTTTCATCAGTCAGGTTAGTTTCTTTTCAGAGGACGTTCAACTACACTAAGGAAAAAAATGTGTAAAATCAGAAAAACTAATCAAGCACAACAGCTGGTAATTAAAACATCTCCCCTCCGTCCCCGCCCGAACTGATTGTTGCAGCGAACGCGGACGTGGAGTGAACCAATCGTGAATAAGGGTTAAAGTATTGTTGACTCAGTCAAGAGATAGTTTTTGTTCCGTAACAGTCAACGATATCAATGCAACCGAACCGCACGTGGTGAATGTGTCACGAGAAAATTAACTGTACGGCCACCCGAAGACAGGTAGTGATCAGTGAAGTTCACTTCACTGTATTTAGTTGTACAACGATGATGATGACATAAACTTGGGATCAGCTGAATCAAAACTTACTACTATCCGGGAATCGGACAAGTCTACAAATTCCGGACGACAAGTTGTCGCGGCAGCACTCGCACTGTATATGGCCAACGAAAGCAGACAATCCAACTCGGCCAAATGTTTCATCGCCAAATGCCACTGCGTAAAACTGCATGTCAGAATTTAGAAAGCAGGCAATCAGTGAGGAAATGCTTCGAGTAGGACAAATGTATTACTTGAACCAGTGATCAAAACATGTACGAGGGTTCCGTTTAAACGGAATATGTTTGTTTTGGAACCGACACAACGGAAACCGAATGGAATAGTTAAAACAAACTACAGACACCATTTTCATGCACAAAACACTTGGCGAGTTTGAATCAAGATAACAGCTGTCTGTAGAGGTAGAGTGAAATGTACAAAGGTATTCATATCACATCTCAGCTACGTGGACCACATGGACGCCGATCGGATCAACCGGACATCTCCACAATAGCTCGCACTGAAATCCACGCCAAAAGTGAGGTGACACGTCGCCTGTGCTGCACACACTTGTTATTGGTCACCCACCCGTTTAACCGTCGGATGAGGTGTGTTGAACAGAATTCCTTTCAAATCGACGGGAGAATGAAATAATATCACATGGTAGTGGTGATGGTAAACAACAAAAGAGCACAAAGTTCCGCTCAGGGACACCTATGGCGAAGAGGTTCGGTCTGCAAAAAATACAACGATAAATTTCCTTCACTATGGAAAAAGCTATTCTTTCAAATTTATCGATAATACAGAATAATTCTAACTCGGTGCCGACCAGTTCTTCTTGTTGGATCCCAAGTAGGGGCTTGGCGATAACACACTTGGAGGTACAGTCGTTCAGTTCAGTTCAGTTCAGTTTTTACAACCATTAACCATGCACTTTCGTGCGCCGGTTTTGGTTGCCCATTTGGATAAAAGAGCGAAATGAAGATTGGAATGTAGAAGCAAATTTAAGCAGAAGATGGGGAATACATATAGAGTGGTGTTAGAAAAATAACGAGTGGGCACAGTCGCTACATGGAGGTTAACGATATATGGGGTTAGAGACAGCTTTGAAATCTTTTTAGACTTTACTCACTCAGTACTAGGTAGACAGTTTTTTATTATAAGACCTTAGATATACTACTATGACATTCAGCCCTTTTACTGTTTATGACACGGAGATGTGCTATGGACAACATACAACACAGAAACAATCAAACCAAAACTGATTTAAAAGAAAAGGAAGATCGCACTGATGCAAATGAGTACAGTGGAAATGTAAAATAAAACGATTCAAGCAATCCAGGCGGCTTGGTTCCCGCTCGACACAGAAACGAACCTTACCTAACGCGATTCGTCACGTTTCGTTTTAGCGCCTAACTGGCAGCCTCTCATGTACACACCACGGGACATTGCGACTAGACAGTCCCTTCGATCCCATGACCTTTGACCTAACACTTGTCCCAACTAATGATGAACCCTGATTCACACCGGTGGCTAAACAAATAAACCAACCTCATCATTTTAGCAACTCGCAATTACTCTGCATGAGTGTTAAGCTTATATGCGTCAGCAGGTGTGAACAGATAATTGTTTCATGTGGGTGAGCTTGATCGGACAAAAGCGCTGCCAAGTGGCTAAATACTTCAGGTAAAAGGATCTTGTCTGAGTTTCAAACACTATAGTCATTTAACTGCGATAGAAATCTTTGTGACGACCGACAAAGAACACACGGCAGCTATTTGGTCCCATTTGGGACTCTTCAGCAGTGCATACTTTGTGTTGCTGTCGCAGGATTCGAATCGCAAACCATCGGGTAAGGAGTCAAAACCCTCAACCCTGAGCTAGTTTGCAACATTTCTGACGCAGGCACGACAGGTCTCTTCTGACGAAAGGGCGTGTATGGCGCAACGTTACGTGCTATGTTGTCCTACAACTGCGAAAATTGGCCTCTCAGAGAAGATGATCTCCAATGACAATGTATTCAGGACAATTGTCAGCGCAGTAACCCATATGGAAGCATTGTATGTGCACCAATGAGGTCACACGACGTACATTGGGGTCAACAAACGTCCTTAGGTAAAATCGTTTCATTGCACCGTCAGTAGAACACTCGACCAAATTTGCCGTGGCGTATTTTATTTGTAAACATTAAATTAAAAAAGTAGATTCGGGATTAAGAAACAGAGTTCCTTTGGGAGCATTCTGACTACCAGGTTTGGACCTCAAATATTAAAACTTTTATTGACTGGAGACACTACAGGATACAGCAATATATCTAAGTTAGTGATCAGAATGCATTCTATAATTTTCACCATAAAACCGCTGAAACCATAAATCTTCCAAAGTGAGCAGTAGCCAAACAAACATTATCCCTACCCCCGAACTTGATGGTTAATTTTTCATGGTTTTTTAACCTGTGGTAATTTTGATGTCGTTTCAGTCAAACTGAAATCATTTCGGTTCTACGAACCATACTACACGGGGCATTTAACATTATTGTCCTAACAGGGAACAAAACACGTCAAACGACACCAGCCCCAATTTGGCCAATCGAATACATCTGAATGACTGACCTCTTGCTGAACGAGATAAAAATATTGCGCATAATCCCACGGAGTGCGATGTCTTTTCGTTCTTCCGCCGCGACCAATTGATTGAGCCAATCTTGTGTTTCTTCCGTTCGATAACGTTTGACACCTTTGCGTTGCGAGGACAGACGCCAGTCGGACGGCATGCGTGAGGTGTATGAGTCCGGGACCTCAATTTGGAAACGATTGCGTCCGGTGCCCCAGTAATTGAGCTGTCAATCAGTCGGAGAGAATTAGGCAGACAGGAAAACTACACCTGAAGGCAATACACACATCATCAATGGAGCTGTTCTGTACAAACCTGTGCAAAAATGCGTGAAAATGTGCACACCCAATATGCATGCAAACAAGTGTAACAAACTGGATAGACTTACACGAACTCCGAAGCGTTTTCCACATGTCACCAGATACTGGTTCAACTCGGAATCAATGGTCTGGAACGCGTGGCAAGAAAGAGATGCAATCAGTCAGACGGAAAAGAATGAACGAGTAATGCGAGCGTGAATGTGTGCTCTGGGGAAAACGAATGAATTCGGTTTAGCAAGGACGGCAAATTATGCCGGAAATAGTGCCCGGGAGTTCTGATTACTGTCCGTTTAGGGCTCAAACGGTACTACGGAAAGTTGAGCACAATAAATAGTTGGATCTATGGTTGCGGAAATTGAGAAATCGGATTGGATAACGTAACACTATCGTGTATTCATCCCTATCGCCGAATGGGTGAGTTTTTTTAAGAGGCCCAATACTAATCACCCTCCTCACTGTCACGTGCTGATTAAGCTTTTCGTGGTCTTCTGTCGGATCATAAAATACCCCCATCGTTCTTTCGTTTTCCGCTGTTCAGCTTAGTGGATCCTCCTTCCTAATTGTTTTTTTTTGTTTGTTAAGTCAATAATCACGCACCTGGTGTTCCGGGTTCACATTACCGACTACTGGCAGCAAACCACTTGATGAATCAGAAAAAACTAACGAAAGATAGCATGTCATTAGAATAAGGTAAATAAAAGTGAAACAAAATGAATGAGTAAGAAAATGCACCAGCAGATGCACTAAATCATAGTTGATCGTACCCACTTCCGATCAACTGGAGCAAAAATTAAAAAAACTGTATTTGTTACAAATGGGACTAAACGTGTGCAAGTGTAAATGGACGCATAAATTTGTGTATTAGCAAACAGATTATCTTAAAGGTAGAAA